ATATATAATTATATATAAAATATGTCCATTTACATAACATTTTTTCCCGGGATAATTTCATATTTATAAGTACTTTATAAGATATTTTTTAAAATATAAAAGATTTCTGCAAAATTTGTAAATGAAATATCTTTTATTGTACTTAAAACACTAAAATACTACGAAAATAATTTATATTTTCCGTGTATTTTTTCGTCGAAAATACGCAAATAAATTTGTTTTCTTTTCAAGATAAAACTAACTGCTGGATTTGCATTCCGTTTAATCAATTTGAATTGTGAATATAAAAAGACGTGTTATTATATCAATGACAACGCTTAAAATACTATGAAAAGAATTTATATTCATTTTTCCATGTTTTTCCATCGAAAATACGTAAATAAATTTGTTTTCTTTTCAAGATAAAACTAACTGCTGAATCTACACTTTGTTTAATCAATTTGAACTTCAAATATAAAAGACGTATTTACATAACGCTTTTTTTAACATTGATAACTAGTCATTATATTGATAACATTTATTTACAACTAGTCATAGTTATAAATTTTAAGAAACGTACTTAGATTAACCAGTTACATATAGTTTATAAAAAGACATAATTATACACCCCCAGACAGCACAGAATATTTATGATAAATATTTATTATAATTCATTTTCTCTGTTCTATAAATATTTTATACATATTTTATATAAAGCTTTATTCGAAATATTATTAAAAGATAGAGTAAATATTTAATGTAATATTTATGATAAATATAGTATATAAATATTTCTGTTAAGTATTTTTTATTTGAATTGTTATGGCTCATTAAGTACGAGTATTTCCATAACATTTACCTATTACAAGATTTACAATAAATATTTCATAATATGTATAATAAATATTTATGATCTATGCAATTTAAGATCACAAAAATATTTGCAAAATATTTAAAATGCCTTATAAATATTTATAAATATTTTGTAAACATTTTATAAATATTGTATGCTGTCTGGGGAGCTGTCAACGGCTGCAAATATGTTAATATATCATTCTTGAAAGTGTGTTTTCTTATAAACTCAAAATAATAAAAAGAGAAAGATAATTATTTTATGTCTGTTTACAAAAATAATTACTAATAGTTTAGTTTTTGATCTTTAAATAACTTAACTTCTTGAAATAACATAAAATTAACTTACTATTTTTCGATTTAATTTTTGTATTACCTTTTCTAATCTTTTTCATTTTTCATTGGTGACTTACCGAGTTTGTCGTTCGCTACGACTTTGCTAACGAGACCGCATTCGTAAGCTTCTTTGCCGGAAATAGGGAAACCAGTAAACAGCATGTACATTGCATTCTTCCTTGGTACATTGCGCACCAGTGGTATACCCGGTGTCGAGCAAAATATCCCGATATTCGCTCTGTAAAAGGTATCGAATAAAAAATAATAAGTAACATTTTCAATAATACAGAAATAATATAATTAATAATAGATATGTGCGATATTAATAAGATAATAATTATATACAGTAAGACAATCATGAGGAGTAAACTTTACAAGAGTACCCCGGAGTGGAGAACGAACTTCTTTCCGTGCACACCGCGATGTCACACGCCGCAACCAATTGACAGCCAGCTGCGGCTGCCAAACCGTCCACCGCTGCGATTACTGGCACCGGACTCTGACTGATGGCTCGCATCAACTCCGAACAGATCTCAAACACGTCCTTGTGAGACTTGGCGTTCGTAGCCGTCTAAACGATGTGAGCCGATGATACTTTTTTCTGTGCGACGAATATGAAGAGGAGCTCTTATGGAAGTGAGACCATAGCTACAAACCAGTTCCTTCAGATTGTGCCCGGCAGAAAACACCTTTCCTGGCTCGGACATCAGTACGATCGATCGGAGGTCCTTGTTGTCCTCATCTCTCTTGATCTCTGTCACCAAAGTTTTTAGCATCCCTAGCGATAGGGAGTTACGCGAAGAAGAGTCGCACAAACGGACAGTTCTGACCTGATTGTGAAATAAAGTTAATTGGTCTTTTGAGTATCGAAAAATAGATAACACAGGTCTACAAAAAAGGGGGTCTTGGATGTTGTCGGGAAGCTGTGGGTCATTTCCGAAGTAATTTTCTGCGTAGAATCCGAATCTGAAACCAGAATTGGCCCATCACGTCAGGATTTTGAGATATTAGGGGATATATACTCGAAAAATGCGTTTTTATGCTACTTTAGAGGTTATGTACAGGACGCAACCAATTTTTTGGGTCTTTTGTGCTATTTGCATCATTTAGTAATATTCTTACCCTTCAAAATGAGATATTGATCGACTACCTACGATTTTTTTTCGCCAAGTTACGGGCATTTTAATTTAATGACTCAACACATGATTTACAAGCTACGTGTGGAGCCCAAGACTTATCTTGATTGGATATCGAAATGTTGAAGTAATTGCGGTAAAATGATTTCACATTATCTTCAAGCTTTATCCTGTTCTTAACAAACGTGAAACGACCACAAATATAACAAAAACTGTTAGGATCATTTAAACACTTACGCGGGGCCATTGTTAAGACAGCAAACAGTCACAATTGTGACTGTTTATATATTAGGACCTTGAATAACGGACAGCGCGTCTTGTGCGCTGCGGCTCTGAGTGCAAGGCGTCTACCAACTTTAAACAAATCATTAGTTTTAAACTTATTAATGCAATGAAAATGAAACTTTCCAGAACATTTGTTCATATCCGAATGAACAACTTTCTCGCTGAAAGTTTTAGGATGCTCGAAATTCGCTCGATAAACGAAGCACCTGAATGCATAAAAAAGGATATTTTGCAGGTGTGTATAAAAAAAATAATAAGTTGTTTGTTTATTGACAAATATCGGTTTTTCTTTCTTCACTAGACGTGGAAAACTCTAATGATCATAACTTCGAAAATAGCAAAAAAACGCATTTTTCGAGTATATATCCTCAAATATCTCAAAATCCTGACGTGATAGGCCAATTCTGATTTCAGATTCGGATTCTACGCAGAAAATTACGTCGGAAATGACCCACAGCTTCCCAACAACAAAACCTTGTTGACCTGTGTAATTAATAATTATTAATATAGTTGCTGAATCGTAATTATAGCTACTGGTAGAATTAGAATTGTAAGTTAGCAAAATTTGGCAACAATTACTGTTAATATTGTAAATAAACAAAAATTTTAAATAATTTCTATGATACTGATAATTAAAATTTCAAGTGTTAAGCTTTTAAATTATCACAAATTTAATAAATATATAAATAATCAATAGAGTTGGAATTAGGTACATAGAATAAGAGAGATATAATTAACTTTAAAAAATCTAGATTTGACTTTCTTTTTATCTTTTTCTTGTTCTAAGAATTAGAAAAAGATGAAGAGTAATTTAAATCGAGATTAAATAAGTTAATTTATATTAATAGAAATGGACATTAGAAGAGTAAAAATAAATAATATTTCTACCCCATTTTTTTCAGTTGTCTCCACATATTTCTTCTCAGTGGATAATGTTCTTGCGATATATCTTCCCTACAATATTGAATAATATTACGGATTAACAATTTAAATTAATAATTATCGATAATATCATAGAACTAGTTAGTGAGAAGTCGAATATTCGCGCGTTGTTTGAAATATTCCCGCGATTCCTTCGTTTTCTCACAAACCAATCAGCGTCGATCGTATGCGAATAAAATAGTTCCGTGACGCGCACACTGCAAAGTGCAACGTAACATAATCCCAAATGATACCGTCGTATAAACATTATATAATTATGTAGTTTTTTTCTAAACTAAACACATAAATGTAACATAAAATACCTGAGAAACGGCGAAGCCGTTTTTGGTAACGAATCTCGAGATGACTATCATTTCGTCACCTCACTGTACCTTGTATACAAGATTCTAGATAAGAAATTTAGGTTAGTTTGATGCGAGGTGTATCGCATACTTCGAACTCGACAACATCGACTTGTACTGTGACGTGGACTTGCTTCCAAGACATAATAAACAGCGCTTATCGTTGGGCAAGGTTAACGTCGTAACACGATATGGATGACATATCGTCGTCACGAACCCGCGAAATTTCAAAGAAAGAAATCGGTGTCTGTTTTTAAATCAAAGTTGTAATTTACGAGTTTTCAGAAAGTTTCGAATTTTCATAGAAAATGCATCATAATTATACCTGTAATCAAAATGATATAGATCGATACCTCATCAAGAAATTTATTTTATTCATACTTTTTCAAACATTTTTTATGATTTGGTATTGAAAAAGAGACGAAACAAGAAAATGAAATGCGCAAAATTAAACAAAATAAAAAATCTCAATAAATAATCTCAACATATATCAGCGATCAATTTATCAAAGCAATATCTGTATAAGATATCATTTTATTAATGTAATTATTACATAAATAATTATATATATAAATAAAATGAATTTTTTGTTAAATATGAAAAAAAGATTAGATTAGAAATTATAAATTATATAATTAAACATTCTGTAATAATAAAGCAATCGTGCCAATTGAATTAATTTTAGATTAGAATTAATCGGAGTTTATTGGTTGAAATCATGTGCATTTGACGTATGTGTGGCGATCAGCTGATGCGTACAGAAAGCGCAACATTTTCGGCTATAACTTAAACAGATCTCTTTGAATGACTGATGTCATCAGTGTTCAACATTTGAACACTCTTTAAATTCTATAAACTCCAGAAATAAAACATTAGAAAAATATATTAGAATAACATTGATATATATCTTTTAAATTATTTCTGCTTGAGCTATCTGTGTTCCTTTTTTTATAAAAAATATTTACATTAAATATTTACGATCTAGATATTTTTCTGCGAATACGCTCTATGTCTAACTCTTAATTTAATTTCTTAAAGTCTATATAAAAACATTGTGTATATATTTTTCACAGACGATTTATGTTTTGTAGTTCTCAGTTCTCATATTTCTTTTTAATTTTACATAAAAGAAATTTACGCACACAGAGAGTTTCTTTTATGCGCTGGGTTTAAATTGAAAATATTGCGAGAGGGCTTTGAGAAGTGCGATCCTGCCTCGAGTTTCGTGGCTGTTCTCCAAGGAGGGATTGACAACGGCGTTCCCATAACGACCAGTGTTTCCCCTAACGACGAACATGGCTGAAGCTGAGGGTAAGTAAGTGCGAGTGTGCATTGTCGCACGAGTATATTTACGACGTGCGAGCGGCAAACAAAGTGAGAGATTCCCGGTCCAGTCTCACTTTGTCCGTAGCTTTTCCTGTTACCGTCGTCACCGTCGTTGTGGTCCGCTTCCGGTTCCTCGACGCGCTCGCTCCTCACGATCCCCGTCCATTCTAATTATAGGGTAAACAGCACACGGCCGTGGTCACCGCTGCACAGTTACGAGAAATATCGCGGGGAACCGCGACGAAAGAAGCTATCGACCTCTATTTCGTAATAGAGGCTTTAAGACGGATTTTATGAATGCACGTGGAATGGATGCAAGGAAGATGCACATGGTAGATAATCGTTATAATGTAGTGCTTGTAGCCTTAATATCATTTATTAATATCGCACAGAGTGAATCTCCAATTGTTTTATTTTGTTAAGTTTATTTCAACAGACGCTTAAAAGAAAAAAAAATTATAATATTGGCTTGATAAATATTTTTTCTCCTTTTCTTCTTATAATTCAATTTGTTTGTTGTGTTGCTTGCTGTATATAGGATAAGAGTTGTTGTGGTTACCGGTGTAGTTATGGAAGGAAGAAGTAACATTGGAGAAGTCTTTTCTCCGAGGGAAATTGCGAATTTTTGTATAGAGAGAAAAAATAATCAGTAAAGTTTAATTTAAGACAGTTGTTTATACTTCACCGCTATCTCAAATTGTGATGTCAGAAGTGAGAAAATATAAAATAAAAATTTCTGGAAAATATATTGATATATTTTAATAAAATAAAACTTAAATTGATAGAAAGGACTTATAAAATATACTAAAAACTCTTCTTCTATTTCGTTAATAAATAATCATATATATTTGGAAATGAATAAAAAAAGAAATGAACTGTGACAAACTCAAATTAATAATAATATAATATATAGAAATAAAAATATAAAATAATATTTAATTTCTCTCCCCGAAACAAGAATAGTTTTCGATATATTTTTTAAATCTATTCTATATCGATAAATATAAAGAACGCCAATAATCGGTCAAAATTAGATGTTATGAATATAATATATATATATATACATATTCCTAATTTTTTAATTTATTAAATTTAATTATCTCAGATGTGACTATGCGCCGAAACGTTTCGACATTAACCACAATCGAAACTGAGATGTTAATAATATAAATAAATCTATTCTATCGATTACACAAATGTTTTACATTGAAAAATATTTCTATTAAATATAATTTACAAGAATTTTTATTGTGCCCTTCTTCTTTTCTGATGTCAATTTGAGATACAATAGTAGATAGTGGTGAATGAATCTTAAATTATTTATTATCTATACTTTAAAATACTTACATTCACATCAACAACAAAAGAAGTAGAAATTTACCTTCATATCAGAAGTAAAAATTTGTTTTCGAATAATAATAAAATTTAATAATGAGGATGATATACTATAATATAATATGTTAAATAACGAGAAGCGATATTTTCGATTGCAATATAATTGTGTAACGGAAGATCAGAGACCGTACGTTATAGTATTACGAAGTTGATTTCAGCAACGTTAATTTTTCGTTTTGAAAGAAGTTTCTAAAAGAATACGAGAACCATCGAATATTTTTCTTTGGCACCCTCACTTTACATTGTTTACCCGCGTTAGTGCAGCCAAGGTGTACTAAAGAAAGAGACGAGAAAAGGAACGAGATTCGCTTCGTGAGACGGCGAGTCGGGGCCGAAAATAAACTTCCGTCGCGAAGATACTCGCGGTTATAACGATTGTAAGAGCGCCGCTCTTACAAGAGCCGGTCTGACCTCGCGAGTCGCGCGTTCTCTCAGTCAGTGTCTTGATGAGCTCGTAATCAGATGTTGTGCTGTGTCCCGAAGAGACTCGCGGACGGGGGCCCGTTCTACGACGAGACCCTGTTCCACGACGGGATCTTGTTTCATGACGAGACCGGTAACAATCCACCATCGTCCATTCGCGAGATTCAAATTGAGCTGTTTCCCAAAGGTGAGCCCGCGTTTTTTAGCATTGCTTCTCAGATATCATCATTTCTTGAATTACATTAAGCAATCGAATGTTGTTCGCGCGAGTGTTCGAATCTTTTAAACGATGAATTGTTGGGAATGTACTCTGTGCTTATCTGGTTCCTACATTGGTTTCATAAAGTGTATTTTGCGACTGAAGAATGCAAGATTAATGGCGTGTATAATTTAAAAGAACGTTAATTAATGGATATTAATAGATATTATTAATGGATATTAAATATTTATAAATTGACGTGATCGAAATTTCCTGTGAAAATTTTAACGTCCCGGGAAAAAATATTTTATATATAATTATATAAAATTATACA